CAATCGTCCCGCAAAAAATAACGCGACCCAATTTTCCAAGTTTCCCGGCGAGGATCGACGCCATTGATCCCGCGAATACGCCATCGTCCTCGAACGTCCGTCCTCGAGTGTTCTTCAACGGCGTTCCCCTATTCGACGGTAAATAAATGAAGTCGAGGAGGGCGAATGGTATGGTAACTAAAGCAATATCCGCTGGCTCGTGTTTTATTCGCGGGAAACGGAGAATTGAAAACCGGGAAGACACCGGAGAGCGCTGGACAAATTTTGGGAAACTTGGGATTACAAAACTGCTGTATATTTCTGCTGTGTATTACAGTTGACCGGAACTGGGAATTTTATTAAAAAGACGTCTTCTTTTTATTTTGCATCGTTTCTGTGCATATGAATTTTTGATACTATATCAAGTTAAGGAGAATTCAAGGTTATTTTATTTTGCATCGTTTCTGTGCATATGAATTTTTGATACTATATCAAGTTTGGGAGAATTCAAGGTTATGTTTGCGTGAACGTATTTTGTTGGGAGCTGTGGTACGCAGAGGTGATCATAGGAATTTGAATTTTTGATATTATTTCAATTTTAGGATTTAAGGTTATATGTCTATGAATGTATTTTATTGGAACTGTGGTATGCAGAGGAGTATGATCATAGAAACTTGAATTTTTGATACTATTTCAATTTTAGGATTCAAGGTTATGTGACTATGAATGTATTTTATTGGGAACGGTATGCAGAAGAGTACGATCATAGAAACTTGAATTTTTGATACTATTTCAATTGTAGGAGGATTCACACTCTGTTTCTATGGACGTATTTTGATGGGAAGTACAGTATGAAAAAGAGTGAGAAGCTTCGGAATGACCTTGGCACAGAAATCCTCTGCGTATTCATTTTTTGACGATATTCAAATCGCGTACAATATTTTCAAATTGCACGTGTGTATTCCAATGGAAGCGATATTTTGAGCCATTCTGTGCCGCGTTGTTGGGTAAAAACTGTGGACTTGAATGCAAATGAATACGTTGCCGCTTTTGGTTGACGTACCTTTCACAGTGGATTTTATTCATGTAGGGTTTTAATGACAAAATTGGACTTTATCCGTAGAATACTTTTTAAGTTTTCGATCGTTGAAATTACATAAAAAGTCAGTTAAAACAATGGTACATCAATTAAGAGTTAAATATGCGCTCAAGTGGAATCACGTTTTCATTTACATTTCCAATATCGCGCGTCAATCATCGCGCGAAAATCCTATTTCCCCTGTCACTGCGAATCGTGTCAGCTCTGAATTTTTCCAAATCTCGTCTCGTTAAAACGAAACAGAGGATCCGTACATTAACGGGACGATTCGTTTAATAAACGAACGTAGAGTTCGACTTAATAAGGTGAATCCGATTACAGTTTATTCGTAGCCGGTTAGAACGGCTTACCTTCGCGAAGAAGGGGTTGCGAAGGAAAGGGTTTTATTCTGTTCGCGTGTAAAATGCAGGCTACGAATATAAAAGGTAGAATTTATTAAATGGTCGACCATCGCTGGACAAAGCGTTGGATGCGCGGTTTGCTGCGAGTCGTTTTCAGGAATTAAGCAAAGCGTGTTCGCCGAGCCGACGTAATTAACGAGAGAAACAAACGGGGACCCGGGCGAAATTCTACCAACTGATTTTCATAAACTGCTCGACTGTCGAGATCTCCGAAAACCGGTGAAATTGTCTTCGACTTTTGAATCGTCCCTTACGTCAAACGTTCCCCTTGCAGATTTATGCTCTTTTGCAAACTGCAAATTTAGGCATTTATAAAAATGATAACTTTATGAGTTTTATCTTTTGACTTGCAATAATGTGTCATTCATTCATGATTGAGTCACGAGTGCGTCATGATTGCGTCGTAAGTGTCATGAATACATTACGAGTGCGCTATAAGTGCGTCGCAAGTCTATGAATGCGTCATGAGTGCATCATGAGTGCGTCACGAGTACGTCATAAGTGTCATGAATGTGTTACGAGTGCGTCATGTGTGCGTCACAAGTCTATGAATGCATCATGAGTGTATCATGAGTGCGTCACGAGTGTGTCACATATGTCATGAATGCGTCACGAGTGTGTCATCTGTGCGTCACAAGTCTATGAATGCGTCATGAGTGTAACATGAGTGCGTCACAAGTCTATGAATACGTCACGAGTGTATCATGAGTGCGTCACGAGTGTGTCACATATGTCATGAATATGTTATGAGTGTGACATGAGTGCGTCACAAGGCTATGAATGCGTCATGAGTGTATCGCGAGTGCGTCACCAGTGTGTCACATATGTCATGAATGCGTCACGAGTGTGTCATCTGTGCGTTACAAGTCTATGAATGCGTCATGAGTGTATCACGAGTGCGTCACGAGTGTGTCACATACGTCATGAATGCGTCATGAGTGTGTCATGAGTGCGTCACACTTATATGAATGCGTCATGAGTGTGTCACGAGTGTGTCACATATGTCATGAATGTGTTACGAGTGTGTCATATGTGCGTCACAATTCTATGAATGCGTCATGAGTGCGTCACCAGTGTGTCACTTATGTCATGAATGTGTTACGAGTGCGTCATGAGTGCGTCACAAGTCTATGAATGCGTCATGAGTGCGTCACAAGTCTATGAATGCGTTATGAGTGTATCATGAGTGCGTCACGAGTGTGTCACATATGTCATGCATGCGTCACGAGTGCGTCACGAGTGCGTCACTTATGTCATGAATGCGTCACGAGTGTGTCATGAGTGCGTCAGAAGTCTATGAATGCGTCATGAGTGTATCATGAGTGCGTCACGAGTGTGTCACATATGTCATGAATGCGTCACGAGTGCGACACAACGAACATCACACTTCAGATACAATGAATCAAAATGAAATTCGCAGCACAATTAAGATCCCTAAATTTTCAACATATGTACCTAACAGTTCCATCTTACATATTTATCTTAACATTGCAGTAATAATTGACGTAGCTCCCAAAAGAATTAAGAGGTTAAGAAACTTGAACTTCTGAATTAACATATCTGTCTTAGAAATTTCTTCCACTGAATACAAGTGACAAGAAACGTCCTTTGTATCGATCTGTAAAATCGTAATCGTAACTACCCCTAAAGATCGTTTAAAGTACAAATAAATTTTCTGAATTGGCAGCGAAGCCCGCCGTTGTAAGCATCCTCCCTTCCCGCTCGGACTGTTTAACGATCTGAAAACAATGTCGCTTAATTGGATGTTCTAGGCGGGTCTTTTTCGGTGCGAAAACAAACTAAATTCTCGAACTCGCCTGGGAGACAGTTGAAAACTGCCGACGAAGATGAGGTCGGTTTCGGGAACGAGTTCTGTTTCTATTCTTCGGGGAGCGAGTCGAAAGTTTCGTCGAGAGCGGAGGAAAAAACTGCTCGATAGTCGTGTCGTTACGTTGCATACACGAACATCTCGAGGAGAGTTCATCCGGCAGTGGTGCCAATTCCCTCGGGGTCTGGCTAAAGCCTTGCACGAAAACTTCCGACGAAAAGTGTGCCAAAGATAGGACCTGCGAGAGTTCTCGATCTTGAATAGCCTTATCGCCACTGGTTCGATCAGTTTCGCCCTTTTCCCTTTTTTTTTTACTTATTGTTTCTTCGACTGGTCGACGCCGGAAGCGTCCATCGATCTATCTCGGAATTATTTACGCTAGAGTGATTTCGCCGAGCGAACGGACCGAGTTTCCAACTTCGATCGTTGCTATCGCGGCGAAGTAATAAACGTCGCTTCTTGAGCACCCCAGGCTTTCGTTCTTTGAAAACGCCGCTCGATACTTTGCGTTCCTGTAACTGTTCTACCCTAAGCATTACGGTGCAACTTTCATACTCTTTTGCGGGATGGGGAATCGCTACTTGTATGTAGTCGTTTTCTTTATACTTGTATTTGTAGGATAGGTGAAAACATGTGTACTCATATGTTACATATGTATGATGAGTAGGTGACGATGTGTGTATGTGTACTCATATGTTATGTAATTCATGTGTGAGTTACATATGTATGATGAACATGTGACATTTCGTATGACGTTCATGTATGATGAACATGTGATTTATGTCATTCATATGTGACATATGTGTATAATGAAAACGTGACATTTCGTATGACGTTCATATATGATGAACGTGTGATTTATTTCATTCATATGTGACTTACATATGTATGATGAACATGTGACATTTCGTATGACGTTCATGTATGACGAACATGTGATATATGTCATTCATATGTGACATATGTGTAT